CTTAAAAGCATCAAAACAGAAATGACTATTCATATATAAGAGATCCTCAATAAAATTAATAGCTGATTGCTCATCAGAAACCATGTTAGTCAAAGGGCAGTGGGATGACATGAAAAGTGCTGAAAGAAAAAGACTGTCAACCAAGAATTCTATATCCAGCAAACTTATCCTTCAAAAGTGATGGAGAGGAAGAAGTAAAACTCTATTTGTAAATGATATGAGCTTATATATAGAAAATCCAAAAGAATCCACTATACTATTGGAACTAGTAAATTAGTTCACCAAGCTGGTAGGATATGTCAGAATACACCCATCAGCTGTATTCTGTACACTTTTAATGAACATTCCAAATGTGGAATTAAGAAAATTCCATTTACAATAGCATCAAAAAGAATAAAATATTTAGGAATAAATTTAACAAAAGTAGCGTAAAATTTATACTTTGAAAATACAAAACATTGTTGAAAGAAATTAAACCTAAATAAATGGGAAGACATCCCATATTCATGGATCAGATCTTTTTAAAAAAAAATTTATTTTATTTTTGGCTGCGTTAGGTCTTAGTTGCAGCACGCAGGATCTTTGTTGGGATCGTCACTGCAGCATGCAGGATCCTCTGCTGTGGTGCATGGGCTCCTTGTGGCACATGGGCTTCCCTCTAGTTGTGGCATGTGGGGTCTCTAGTGGTGGCCCTTGTGCTCAGTAGTTGCAGCACGTGGGCTTAGTTGCCCCACAGCATGTGGGAACTTAGTTCTCCGACCAGGGATCAAACCCACATCCCCTGCATTGGAAGGCAGATTCTTAACCACTGGACCACCAGGGAAGTCCCTCATGGATCAGATCTTAATATTGTTAAGATGACAGTACTCCCTAAATTGGTGTACAAATTCAATGTAATCTTCCTCAAAATTTCAATTAGTTTATTTGAAGAATATTGACAAGCTGATTGTAATATTCACATGGAAATTCAAGGGACCCAGAATAGCCAAAACAATCCTGAAAAACAAAAATAAAGTTAGAGAACTCAAAATTCCCAATTTCAGATCTTACTATAAAGCTATAGTAATAAAGACATTGTGGTACTGGTGTAAAGATAGACATACAGATCAATATAATAGAATTGAGAGCTCAGAAATAAACCCTCACATTTATATATAAATGATTTGCGACAAGGGTACATAGACCATTTAATGGGGAAGGAATAGTCTTTTTAACAAATGATTCTGGGACAACTGGATATCCACGTGCAAAAGGATGAACTTGGACCCTACCTCATATATATACACACACACACACACAGATTACCTCAAAATGGTTCAAAGAACTAAAACTGTAAAACTCTCAGAGGAAAACATCAGCGTAAATCTTCATGACTTTGGGTTAGGCAATTGTTTCTTAGATATGACACAAAACGCATAAGCAACAAAAGGAAAAATAGGTAAACTGGACTTCATCAAAGTTTTAAAAACTTTTGTTCTTCAAAAGACACCATTGAGAAAGTGAAAAGACCACCCACAGAATGGGAGATAATATTTGTATCATATATCTGTAAGAGACTTTTATCTAGAATATATAACGGACTCTTAACATGTCTATAATTAAAAAGACAACCCAATTATTTAAATGGGCAAAGGATCTGACTAGATGTCACTAAATATAATACAAAAATGGCCGACAAACACATGAAAGATGCTCAACATCATTAGTCATTAAGGAGATGTAAATCAAAACCACAGTGAGATACTATTTCATACCCACTAGGATGGCTCTAATTTTTTTTTAAAGAAAGATAACAAATGATGAAGATGTGGAGAAATTGAAACCCTCATAAGTTGCTGGTGGGAATGTAAAATGGTACAGCCACTATGGAAAACAGTTTGACAGTTCCAAAAAAATTAACCATAAAATTACCATGTGACCCAGCACTTCCACTCCTAGGTATATAGCCAAAAGGATTGAAACCAAATATTCAAACAAACACTTGTACATGAATGAACATAGCAACAATATTCATAATGGCCAAAACATGGAAACAATCTAAATGTCCATCGTGGTAGATAGATGGTAGGAAAAAAGGAATAAAGTACTGTAGAAAGGAATGAAGTACTGATACATGCCACAGTGTAGACGAACCTCAGAAATACCATGCTGAGGGAAAGAAGGCAGATGCAGAAGAACACATATTGTATGATTCCATGTATATGAAACATCCAAAATACATAAATCTGTAGAGAGAGAAAGCACAGTAGTGGTTGCCAGGGTTTGGGGGAAGGGGGAAATGTTGAGTGACTGCTTAATTGGCTTGAGATTTCTTTTTAGGGTGTTGAAAAGTCTTGGAACTAGATAGAGGTGATAGTTGCACAATAAAGTGAATGTACTAAATGCCACTGAATTGTATACTTCAAAATGGTTAATTTTATGTCATGTGAATTTCACCTCAATTAAAAAAATTTTTTTAAATATATACTAACCATGAAATGAAAAATTATTGATAAATTGGACTTGGTCAAAACTGAAAATTTGGGGGCTTCCCTGGTGGCGCAGTGCTTGAGAGTCCGCCTGCCGATGCAGGAGACGCGGGTTCGTGCCCCGTTTCGGGAGGATCCCACATGCCGCGGAGCGGCTGGGCCCGTGAGCCATGGCCGCTGGGCCTGCGCGTCCGGAGCCTGTGCTCCGCAAATGGGAGAGGCCACGACAGTGAGAGGCCCGCATAACGCAAGAAAAAAAAAAAAAAAAAAAAAAAACTGAAAATTTTCTATTCTATAAAAGACATCAGTAAGAATATTAAAAGGCAAGCCGTGGAATGGGAGAAAATATTTGTATTACATACAGTTGATCCTTGAACCACAGGGATTTGAATTGCACACGTCCACTTATATGCGGATATTTTTCAATAGTAAATACCACAGAACTACGTGGATGGTTCATGGTTGGTTGAACCTGAGGATGTGGAGAAATAGAGGATACAGAGGGCCAACTATGAGTTATACATGGATTAACCCTGGTGTTGTTCAAGGGTCAACTGTATATCTAACAAAGGATTCGTATCCAGAATACATAAAGAAATCTATTCAATATGAAAATTTTTTTAAATTTTGCAAAGACACAGACACTTCTCAAAAGATTTACAGTAGCACATAAAAATATACATAGTATCATTAGTCACGTGGGGGGAGAATGCACCTTAAACATCAGTGTGATCCCAGTTCACAAGACTGACGATACCTAATATTGGCGGAGATGTGAAGGAACTGGAACTCTCATAAATTGTCAGTGGGATATAAACCACTTTGGAAATCAGTTTGTCAGTTTTATATTCCTATCCTATGACTCAGCAATTTTACTCCTAGGTATTTAGCTAAGAGAAATGAAAACATGTTCATAACAAGACTTGTATAAGAATTTTGGTAGCCAATTTTATTCATAATAATCCAGAAACAACCCTTGTGTCCATCAACAGGAGAATAGATAAGCAAAGTGTAGTATATTCAAACAATGGAATATGACTTGGTAATGAAAAGAAACAGACCTATCAGTGATGGGATGGGAGGGTGATGGACTGCAAAGAGGTATGAGAGAACTTTCTAGAATGTTCTCTATCTTGATTGGAGTGTTGGGTACTCAGGGTATACATTTGTCAAAACTCATCTAACTATACACTTAAATTCTCAACAGAGTTGACTTTTTTTACGTATATAAAGGGGCAGCAAACTTCATAGTTCAGGACTCCTCTGACCTAAGGGTTATGTGGGCTTTATGCAGGCTGCAAGACCCCAAACTTCAGGTGAGACAGCAGGGAAATCACATCCTCGCACGCATCTGTAAGTCAAGAGGAAAAACAACATGGGACAGAATACAAGTCATCCTTAATCATCCATCTTAATCATTCTCTAATGTGGACCAGACACTGTGGTCTGGTGTAGCTCAACTGTGAAGGCAGAATTGGACATAGTTCTAGTGGTATCCATGGGGTTGATTACTCTTGGTAGTACAGTCAAACTTCCTAACAGCAGGAAGGATTTTTGCAGCCCTTGGCAGACTGGATTGGAGAAGGATGGCCAAGAATTATCAGCCGTTGTCTCCTGAAAGGGTAGACTTTGTTCATAAGAAAAAGAAGATCTGTGTTAGCCCTTGTGGGGAGGATAAGGGATGGTTGGTGCTGTATTTTAGAGCAGGGCTCAGCAAACTGACCCACAGGCCAAATCCAGCCTTTGTTCTGTTTTTGTACATTCTGTGAACCAAGAATATTTTTCATATTTTTAGAGGGTTATGAACGACAAACAAAGCTAGATAATGTTCGACAGAGACCATACATGGTCTGCAGAGCCTAAAATATTTGCTGTCTGGCCGTTTACAGAAAAAGTTGGCCCCTACTAATCACAATCCTGAGGGTAGGTAGGAGTACGATCACCTGGCTTTGGGTAGATTAGCAGGAAAAGGAAATCTAAATTATATTTCTGCCAGATGAAGTAGACTGGTGGTATTTTTCTCTCATGGACTGTAATTGTGCAAAAGGCAGAGCCTCTGATAAGTTCTTGACCTGGGTTTTTCCAGTGTGTTTTCCTAAACCCCAGCCATAACAGAGAAGTTTAAATGCCCCATTGGCCCTGATGTCAGTCCCTCTACCAAGAATGCCCTCTCTCTTTCATCTGGTTTCTGTCTAAACCCGCCTCCTCGGTGGGGCAGAATCAGTCACTCCCTTCTCTGTGTATCATAGCACTCAGTTCATACCACCAGGCTAACATGTAGACCTTTGTACATGTCTGTCCCCCTCTGGACTATGAGCTCCTTGGGTAGATTTTAACATTTTTGCTGCCACTGGTCCTGGCATCCAGATATGTGCTGCTTAAATGTTGATTGAACTGAATCCAGCCACTGGTATCCCTTGATATATAGGAGCCTGGGTTGAATAGAGACCAGAGATAGCTATTTAGGATCAGGCTGGGGTAACAAGCAGAGGCAAGTTCTCTAGAGCTGATGTATCTGAATTTCATTTTCAGCGAACTGAACAGAGGGATATAAGGAAAGCAAAGTTGAAAGAAAAGAAGGAGCAGAATCAGAATGAGGCTTTACTCCAGGCCATCATGGTGAGTTCTCAAGCTTTAGGCCCTTCTGGTCTTGTGAAATCCACTAATCCTGAAGCCTGTTGGGAACGTTTCTGGGAATGCTTTACCTGAATTAGTTGTACATTTTCTTTCTGCTTTTGGTGAAGCAGTGTGACAAGTCAGACCTTCTGAGTTCAGTCAGCTCTCTCACTTGCATGCATGTATTGGGTTCAGGTAACATATACTGAATTTAGTAGCTTTTGGTTAAGCGTTTTCTAATCTTCACAGTAGCCTTCTGGGGTAGGTTTTCTTGCTCCTGTTTTTGCTAGATGAGCACATAGTCTCAGGGACATGAAGAAACCTCACACAGCTAATATGTGTCAGAGCCAGGTCCTTGCTCTCAGCCCCTGTGTTATACTGCATCCTGAGAAAGTGAATTTTTAGGATGTAGCTCTTCTAACTATAACAACAACACAAAATTCTATCTCCCCTTCCCTCTCTTTACTGCATTTTAAATGAATGTAGTCTGATCCAAATCTTGCTTTCACAAGTCACTTTGAGCCTTGGCTACTCAGGGGAGGTAATACTGGCTATGAGATTGTGGGGTAGGTTCTTGGTTAGGTTCTTGGTTTCATTCTTTGCCGAGTTAAATTATGTGCCTATTTAAATTACTTGTTGACTTTGAGAACGTCACAGTTCTAAGATGCGCTCCACTAGTTCCTCCGCACAACAAAGAATCTGTTAACACATTAACAGATTAAACAGAAGGGAATACTCCAGAGGGATTTGGTCATTTTCTAAAATGTAGAATATTGGAATACCCAGACATTTGCATACAGACCTATTTTGGTTCTCTCCCTTAACTGTGCATCTCAAACTTCAGTGTACTTAAGAATTAATCTCGAGTAATATAAACAAAGCCGTATGTACTACATTTTAGTGGTTTAAAGCAGGGGTCAGCAAGCTGCAGCCAGTGGCTTACAGCCCTGCCTGTTTATATACTTCTTACCAATGGCTGTTTTCACACTACAGTGGCAGGGTTGAGTAATATCAACAGAGACCATTTGGCCCGCAAAACCTAAAATATTTCTTATCCGACCCTTTAAGGGAAAGTTTGCCAACCCCTGATTTAGGAGATACCATCAAGGTAATTTTGATTACATGTCATTTTCCCCTTGTGTGCTAGCCTTAGGAGCCTCCACACAACATACATAAGAGGTGACTCTACTATTCAGACCTTTGATTTATCCTTGTTTCTATGAGACAATCAAGATTAAGTCAATATGTGCATTATTTTTATTATCCCATGTCCTAGCTAAATGGAAACGTTTGCCATGTTCATACATGCCTCTCTCTGCATCTTTTCTGTACCTCTGCACATGCTGTTCCTTGGCTGTTACTTGGGGTAGAATGCCCTTCCCACTCCCCTGCCCCCCAACTTTTCTGCTTTTCAAAGTCATTGTTCAAGGCCTAGCATCCCCCAGTCCCCTCCAGCCCCCAGGCTGAATTAATTATTCACGGTCTGCAGTTCCACAGCTTTACTTCTTACCTTATGTTGTACTTATTACCATGTCTAGCTCAAGCCTAGCATGCTAGACAGAGTCTAGCATGTGGTAGATGCCCAGTAAAGGTGAGTTAAACAGTCTCAGGGATAATAAAGATGAATCATGTGTAGAGCTGGCTCTCAGGGAGCTCACCGTGTTATGGTTTCCTTGTTTTAGTGACATGGGTTTGCATCCTTCCACACATAAGGTGTGTGTTTTCTTTTTTTAACCCAGGCTAGGAACATCAGGCTAGTGTCTGAAGCTGCTGGAGAGGATGAAGATTCAGCCTCAGGAGGTCTCAGTGAGCTCATCCTGAACGGGCTCACTTCTGAGAACCTCTACGGAGCCAGGCTGAGTGTAGATGATGGGGGAAGACTGAGCTGGCCTGTGCTTTTTCTGTACCCAGAGTATGCCCAGTCAGACTTCATCTCTGCTTTTCACGAGGACTCCAGGTACTTTCTTCCCCAGGAGCCCTCTGCTATGCTTGCATGCTCTTCCCTGCTGTCTCCACAGGATGGACAGGTGGGTTTTTAGTTGAGGAGGAAAGAGAATAGTTTTAGAGGGTTTTACACAGTCTGGTTGGTATAACCTCTCTATTCCATAGCTGATTTCTCCTTTTACTAAGTAGCTTTACAGTGACAGACCACAGTACAGTGTTTGTCAAGCACTGGTACTTGTCTCGTGAGAGATGAAATCATTGGAGGTAGTACCTGCATAGAACTGAAGGGTATATTTATTAGAAAACATATATCTGGCGATTTTAACATGTGATTTCATAGGGTTAATGCTTAGAATGTGGCTGAATATAAGAATGTTGTTAATCCTGAGTCAGTTTAAAGAGAATTACTATGTCATAATAGGACAAGTGATACACACATTTTGGGCACTGCTGTCAAAGTGGGTTAAGGCTACATTTCATGATTTATACATTCTTGATATCTCTGTGAATTGGTGTCCAGGGCATGGGATGTAGGAAAACAGATTATGAGTTATTGATACCCAGAAAGTACATGTTATATCTCCTTAGGTTTATTGATCATCTAATGGTGATGTTTGGTGAAACGCCCTCTTGGGATTTAGAGCAAAAATACTGCCCTGATAATTTAGAGGTAAGAGAAGTTTTATTTTGTTCCTCTCTGGGAATTGGGGTGGGGAGGAACAGGGAGTGCAGTGAGGTTTCACTGCCTTTTTAAAAAAAATCGTGGTAAAATATAAAAAACATAAAATTTACCATTTTAAGTGCACAGTTCCATAGTGTTAAGTACATTCACATTGTTGTACAGCCATCACCACCATCTGTCTCCGTTTTTATCATCCTAAACTGAAACTCCATGCCCATTAATCAATAACTCCCTATTTTCCCTTCCCCTCAGCACATAGCATCTACCCTGCTACTTTTTGTCTCTGAATTGATCTCTCACGTAAGTGGAATCATACAGTATTTGTCCTTTTGTATCTGGCTTATTTCACTTGGTGTAATGTCTTTAGGATTCATCATGTTGAGCATGGGTCAGAATCTTATTCTTTTTCAAGGCTGAATAACATTCCATTGTTGCAACTTAAAAAAAAAATAATCACAACTTTACAGAACAAAGAATTTATCTTCTAACTATTTGAGAGTAAGATGCCACCTGATGCCCCATCACTCCTGAATACTTAAGTGTCTATTTCCTGCAAAAAGGACATTTTCTTTCGTGATTCCAGTCAATCATCAAAATCAGGAAATTATCTTTAATACACTCTTACCAGCTAATCCTCAGACTCCATCAGTTTTTACAAATTTTCCCCCAGTAATGTTGGTTGTTTTTTTTTTTTGGCACACACTACTAATTTAAAAAAAAATTTCTTTTAATTGAAGTATAGTTGATTTACAGTATTGTGTTAGTTTCAGGTGTACAGCAGTGATTCAATTATATTTTTTCAGATTATTTTCCATTATAGGTTATTTTAAGATATTGAATATAGTTCCCTGTGCTGTACAGTAAATCTTTGTTGCTTACCTATTTTATGTATAGTAGTTTGTATCAGTTAATCCCATACTCTGAATTTATCCTCCCCACCCCCCACTTTGGTAAGCATAAGACTGTTTTCTGTGTCTGTGAGTCTCTTTCTATTTTGTATGTAGATTTATTTGTATTAATTTTAGATACACATAATGATATCATATACTATTTGCCTTTGTCTGACTTACTTCATTAAGTATAATATTCTCTAGGTCCATCCATGTTACTGCAAAAGGCAATATTTTATTCTTTTTAATGACTGAGTAATACTCCATTGTGTATATATACCACATCTTCTTAAGCCAGTCATCTGTTAATGGGCACTTGGGTTGTTTCCAATCTTGGCTATTATAAATAGTGCTGCTGTGAACATTGGTGTGCATGTATCTTTTCGAGTTAGAGTTTTCTCTGAACATATGCCCAGGAGTGGGATTGTTGGATCATATGGTAACTCTATTTTTAGTTTTTTAAGGAACCTCCATACTGTTTTCTATAGTGGCTGCACCAATTTACATTCCCACCAACAGTGTAGAAGGGTTCCCTTTTCTCCACACCCTTTCCAGCATTTATTACTTGTAGACTTTTTTTTTTTTGCGGTACACAGGCCTCCCACTGTCGTGGCATCTCCCGTTGCGGAGCACAGGCTTTGGACGCGCAGGGTCAGCGGCCATGGCTCACGGGCCCAGCCGCTCCACGGCATGTGGGATCTTCCCGGACTGGGGCACGAACCCGCATCCCCTGCATCGGCAGGCGGACTCTCAACCACTGCGCCACCAGGGAAGCCCTATTTGTAGACTTTTTAATGATGGCCATTCTGACTGAGGTGTGGTGATACCTCATTGTGGTTTTTGATTTGCATTTCTTTAATACTTAACGATGTTGAGCATCTTTTCATGTCCCTGTTGGCCATCTGTATGTCTTCTTTGGAGAAATGTCTATTTGGGTCTTCTGCCTGTTTTTGATTGGGTTTGATACTGAGTTGTATGAGCTGTTTGTATATTTTGGATATTAACCCCTTGTCAGTTGCATCATTTGCAAATATTTTCTCCCATTCTATAGGTTGTCTTTTCATTTTGTTGATGGTTTCCTTTGCTGTGAAAAAGCTTTTAAGTTTGATTAGGTCCCATTTGTTTATTTTTGGTTTTATATTTTGGCCTTGGAAGACTTAAGAAAATATTGCTACAATTTGTGTCAGATAATGTTTTGCCTGTGTTCTCTTCTAGGAGTTTTATGGTGTCATGTTTTATATTTAGATCTGAAAACCATTTTGGGTTTATTTTTGTATGATGTGAGGGAATGTTCTAATTTCATTCATTTACATGTAGCTGTCCAGCTTTCCTCGACACTATTTGCTGAAGAAACTGTCTTCTCCATTGTATATTCTTGCATCCTTTGTCGTAGATTAATTGACTATAGGTGTGTGGGTTTATTTCTGGACTCTCTATTCTGTTCCATTAAGCTCTATGTCTGTTTTTGTGCCAGTACAGTGCTGTTTTTTGTTTTGTTTATTTTTGGCTGTGTTGGGTCTTCATTGCTGCACACAGGCATTCTCTAGCTGTGTTGAGCGGGGGCTACTCTTCCTTGCGGTGTGTGGGCTTCTCATTGCAGTGGCTTCTCTTGTTGTGGAGCATGGGCTCTAGGTGCACAGCCTTCAGTAGTTTTGGCACACGGGCTCAGTAGTTGTGGCTCACAGGCTTTAGAGTGCAGGCTCAGTAGTTGTGGTGCACGGGCTTAGTTGCTCCATGGCATGTGGGATCTTCCCGGACCAGGGCTTGAACCCTTGTCCCCTGCATTGGCAGGCAGATTCTTTTTTTTTTTTAATTTTTAAAAATATTTATTTATTTATTTTTGGCTGTGTTGGGTCTTTGTTGCTGCACGTGGGGTTTCTCTAGTTGTGGCGAGCGAGGCTATTCTTTGTTGCAGTGCATGGGCTTCTCATTGCAGTGGCTTCTCTTGTTGCAGAGATCAGGCTCTAGGCATGCAGGCTTCAGTAGTTGTGGCACGCAGGCTCAGTAGTTGTGGCACATGGGCTTAGTTGCTCCATGGCATGTGGGATCTTCCTGGACCAGGGCTCGAACCCATGTCCCTTGCATTGGCAGGTGGATTCTTAACCTCTGTGCCACCAGGGAAGTCCCAGGCAGGCAGATTCTTAACCACTGCACCACCACGGAAGTCCAGCATGCTGTTTTGATTACTGTAGCTCTGTGGCATAGACTGAAATCTGGAAGGGTTACTTCTCCAGCTTTCTTCTTTTTTCTCAGAATTGCTTGGGCAATTCTTAGTCTTTTGTGATTCCATATAAATTTTAGGAATATTTGTTCTGGTTCTGTGAAAAATGTCATGGGTACTTTTTTTTAGCACTTTATATGTGTGTGTGTGTGTGTGTGTGTGTGTGTATTTGGTTGCACCAGGTCTTAGTTGCAGCAGGCGGGCTCCTTAGTTGTGGCTCACTGGCTCCTTAGTTGCGGCTTGCGGGCTTCTTAGTTGTGGCATGCGAACTGTTAGTTGCAGTATGCCTGTGGGATCTAGTTCCCTGACCAGGGTTTGAACCTGGGCTCCCTGCATTGAGCGCGCAGAGTCTTAACTACTGAGCCACCAGGGAAGTCCCAGTCATGGGCATTTTGATAGGGATTGCATTAAATGAGTAGATTGCTTTTGGTAGCATGGACATTTTAACAATATTCTTTCAATCCAAGAGCATGGAATATATTTCCATTTCTTTGAATCTTCAGTTTCCTTTATCAGTGTTTTATAGTTTTCAGCATATTGGTCTTTCACCTCCTTGCTTTTGTTTATTCCTAGGTGTTTTATTTTATTTTTTGATGTGATTTTAAATGGGATTTTTTTTAACTTATATTTCATTGTTAGTGTAAAGAAATGCAACAGAGTGTTGTATATTAATCTTGTATCCTGCTACGTTGCTGAATTCATTTATTAATTCTAATAGTTTTTGTGTGGAGACTTTAGGGTTCTCTATATGGAGTATCATGTCATTTGCAAGTAGTGACAGTTTTACCTCTTCCCTTCCAATTTGGATACCTTTTCTTTCTTTTTTCTATCTGGTTGCTGTGGCTAAGACTTCCAATACTATGTTGAATAGAAGTGGTGAGAGTGGGCATCCTTGTCTTATTCCAAAATTTAGTGGGAAGGCTTTCAGCTTTTCACCATTGAGTATTACATTGGCCGTGAGTTTGTCATAAAGGGCTTTTATCATGTTGAGATATGTTCCCTCTGTACCTACTTTGGTGAGTAGGTATAGAGGGAACATTATCATGAATGGATGTTGAATTTTGTTAAATGCTTTTCTAGTGTCTATTGAGATGATCACATGGTTTTTGTCTTCCTTTTGTTAGTGTGGTGTATCACATTGATTTGCGTACGTTGAACCATCCTTGTGGCCCTGGAATGAATCCAACTTGATCATGGTGTATGATCCTTTTTATGTGTTGTTGGATTTGGTTTGCTAATATTTTGTAGAGGATTTTTGCATCTGTATTCATCAAAGATACTGGACTGTAATTTTCTTGTAGTCTTTGTCTTGTTTTGGTATCATGGTGATGGTGGCTTCATAGAATGAATTTGGGAGTTTTCCCTCCTCTTCAAGTTTTTGAAATAGTTTGAGAAGGATAGGTGTAAGTTCTTTGTTTGTTTGGTAGAATTTGCTAATGAAGCTGTCTGGTCCTAGACTTGTGTTTGCAGGGAGATTTTTTAATTAACATTCTATTTCATTTCTAGTGATTGGTCTGTTCCAATTATGTTTCTTCTTGACTCAGTTTTGGCAGGCTGTATGTTTCTAGGAACTTGTTCATTTCATCTAGGTTGTCCAATTTGTTGGCATATAACTGTTCATAGTAAACTCTTATGATTTTTTGTATTTCTGTGGTATCAGTTGTTATTTCTCCTCTTTCATTTCTCATTTTGTTTAATTAGGTCCTTTCTTTTCTTGTTGAGCCTGGCTAGAAGTATGCTGATTTTGTTTATCTTTTCAAAAGCCAGCTCTTGCTTTTATTGATCTTTTCTATTGCTTTTTTAATCTCTATTTTATTTTCTTCATCTCTGATCTTTATTCTTTCTTTCTGTTGACTTTGGGTTTTGTTTATTCTACT